CTGCAGTAAAGGATGGCAGGCTTTGCATTGTGTGAGACTGCTTTGCTCCAGGCTGGCATTTGGCACTACGACTGCCTGGTAGGGGCAACTTCGAAGAAGCAGTGTGCTCTGAGAAGGAGCATTTCTATTTCATAACAGACTAGCCAAAATGATCAGCAGCTGCCTCTCCTCTCAGTAGGATACTAGAGTGGTACCTGCTAGCCCAGGGCTACCTACCAAAGCCAAGACAAACAGCCAGCAAGGAGTCTAAAGATTACCGCTATTTATTTATAGCAACTGCTGCAAGTTTGGTGACCATCCATTTAATAACCACACCTCACACATGAGCACATTCACAGTTATAACCATTTGTTTTTACACATCACCTTAATGCAGATCTTCCTAATATCTGAGTTAGCTTTACACACTTCAGCAGCCTGACCAACTTTAAAAAAAATTGCTTTTAACATCAGGGCTTCCATTACAAACAAAAAATCAGTGTACCTGAATTAAGATGGCTGTGGCTGCAACCAGACTGATCATCGGTACCTAAACTGAGAAGTACCAAGAAGTAGATTGTTGTGCTCCTGTGCTTAGCGTGTTTTGTGGTACTAATTTGGTGACAGTTGAGAAGGCACTGAGAGCTTTGTTGTATCATAGAATCATAGAATCAGCTGGGTTGGAAGGGACCTTTGAAATCATCAAGTCCAACCCTTGATCCACTACCGCTGCGGTTACTAGACCATGGCACTAAGTGCCACATTCAGTCTCCTTTTAAAAATCTCCAGGGACGGAGAATCCACTACTTCCCCGGGCAGCCCATTCCAATGTCTGATCACCCTCTCTGTAAAGAAATTCTTTCTAATATCTAACCTAAACCTCCCCTGGCACAACTTGAGACCATGCCCTCTTGCCTTGACCACATATTAAGGCCTTTAAGGCAGAGATATAAAAGTGAAAAGACAAGGAACACAGTTTACCTCAGCTTTGTCCAACCAGGCCACACTAGTACCACAACGGTAAGTGATGCTGAAGGATATAAATGTTATTATGAGGCACTGCACCATAGTAAGATTCCCCACACCCCTCTCTGCACTGCCCAGATGCTGGCCTGGTGCCAAACAAGCACCAAACAGCCATGCTATGCCTCAGCATCTCTCCTCCCACAGAAACAGGAGCAACACAGGCTCTGCTACTGGAGCCTCCCTATCCTCCCTGTAGGTCCCAACCATCCTTCACAGCAGCAGAACAAGACTTCCACCTGTATGCGGTCAGCACCTACTGGAGGAAAGGGACACCATGAATGAAAATTGACAGCAAAAGGGGCTGGCAGGAGGATGGACCCCAACTGCCATTTTAAACAACAGCCTTCAATGTAGAGTGAAATCCTCCACAGGCAACTGCTGTGTGTCCTCCCACTTATCCCAATCATTTGGGACATGGAAAGGGGACACACACCACACCTCTTTGTTAGTGCTTACAGACATTTCTCCAGAAGTGTTAATATCATGAGAGCTGGCAGTATTACTGGTATTATGGAAGATCAAAATGATAATCAGTTGTCACCAGTTCAGAAGCACTCCAACGTGGTGATCTTAACAGACCCCTCATGAAGCCATGATTCTCTTCCCAAGCTGATTATGCCACATAGCCCTGCTCAATGAAGAGCAGTACTGAGACGCAGTCTCCCAGAGCAAGACAGTCAACTACAAAGGCATCCAAGCATCAGTATCACAAGCACCTCACATTTAAATTTCAGTGCACTGATGCAGATCTTCAATGCAGGTAGGTTCCACAGATCTCATCTTCCTGCAGAAACTAAGACCCACTCTTAAGCCCACACAGTGCAAGCAGAAGGCTAAAAGGAGCTGCTGGCTCCACCTCTGGAAGGAATTGCTGGAGGAATGGCACCAAATTCCTACATGCCTCCCTGACATGGGAAGCTGCCTCCACAGCTGCAAATCCAAATGGGCTCTGAGAGCCTCCATTGCTCAGCAGCTGTACTGGCTATTTTCTGCTGAACCAGGGCCTCAGTATTTTCAGCCAGAGAAGAACTGCCTTGAATTCACACACACCCAAGGGCCTGTATATAAACTGAACGTTGTGAACCACTAGTGGCATTTTTCTCTGCTATGTATAACTAGGAAAAATAGGATTTTAATGGATTTATTCTCAACCTACTTTAAACTCACAAAGATATGAGGCCTTATGTCATCATTATAGTTACTACATGTGATCCTGTGTGTGTTATGAAGAAGCAAGCTAGAAATGAGTACTGGATGAACTCAAAAGCTTGCAACTCCTCTGCCAAAGCAAAGTCTGTCACAAGTTGCTAAATACATAACCACGGAAGTTAAAGAGACCCACACACCAATAAGTCAGTATTTCAGGGCGATGAGACTACTGTGCACCAGCTATGAACCAAAAGGTCTTTGCTCTGCTATGGACTTCATGCATGGATTTGGAGTAAGTCACTGTTTAAACCTTCATTTACTCCCTCACTCCTCTTCCCCCTGAATTGAGATCTGTAGACTGTACCTATACTCTGTCCAGAGCTAGGAGTATAAACATGCTGAAGACTGTGAAGTGCTTAGATACCACAGTGATCATGCACTGCCAAGTTTTGATAAAATTATACTATTGGGCTAGTATTCTACAGTCAAACAATTTGGGGGTGACAGAATTAGAAATAAAAGCACTGATGTATGTTGGCACGGAAATCCCAACTCTGGGCAGCAGGCATGTCTGAGATACAGCATGCTGTTTCCCCACCACAGAGAAAGCATCATCAACTCATGTCTCTTCTGCTCTTTACTATATATGTTTAAGCTTTAAAGGAAGCTTTCTGCTATTACGCAAAATAAGACAGGCTTTCAGCCCACTCTCTGACAAAGCGGCCTTTAGCTGAATGAAGTTGCTGGACTGGAAGCCTCAGACGTCCACCAGTTCCCCAAACATGCTGAAGTGGGATGGGCATAGTGGTAAAGATTTTATTAGCACCACAGGTCTGACTAAAAGGGGAGTTTTGCCAAGACTAGATATATCTGTTAAGTAGCCTCATTAAAAGACCCTAAATGAGCTGAGGCTCCTCTGAATCAGACCAGCAAGATCTGTTCCTAAGTACTTCAAAAACTGCTCTGTAATTCAAACTGAAGAATCCAGCTTTTCAGAAACTAGAAAAAAAGCTTACCTCAACTTGTTACACTTCTGGATATACAACTTCACACTGACAAAATTTTTTTAGTGTAACAAGGAATACCTTCACTTGCTGTTTGTTGTGAACTAGCCAGTTTACCCTCCTAACTTTTGAGGAGGCCAAAGGTCACCTGGGTTTGTACTCAGCACATTCACACAGAGTGGGATACCACAAAACCACCTTAGTTAAGGTTACACAGAGCTAACAACACATACTCCCATTAATAGCAACAAGCCCAGCACAAGCAGTTTGAGACAGCATCCTCAAATACACTATGCATATGTACAGTAGTGCTAAGGTCACTTTCACACTTTCCAATGCTCACTATTAAAAAAAAAAAAAAGAAAATTAGTTGCATATTAACCAAATGCTTTCTTTGAGCGCTAAATACTCATTTTGTAACCTACTTAAGCAACATTTTACAAGCCGTGTTTTGAACCAATTACTATTGAAAAACAGGACTATGACAGTAACAAGAAATGCATTTAGTTGGCATAAATCTGACTAGTTTGTGTTTATGTCAGTGAAATAACAACCATGAAGTCAGTCTTTGTGGGAAGAGTCTCACCCTTCAGGGTATCAGCTTTCTGGAAATGGGGCTGTTTCCTACAATCCTCATGGAATTAATTATATTACTGATTTCAGGCCTAACAAAGATATAAAAGACCATTCAAATGCTGATTCCCTTACCTAAGGCTATATGCAGATCTAACAAGGTACACTAATTCAGGCAGCAGTTGTTCAATTAAGTATAGGAATAACATGGTTAAAAATTACCACTTCAGTCTATGCAAGTTCGGTGAGATTATCTTACTAGTTGCTCTTTACAACAAGGAAGCATGTCTGAAGTCATGTGAGACCAAAGCACATGCTCATGCTGCAAGAAGAAGTTTTAATATAAGGAATACACAACTTTACAGAAACCCACGCAGCATTTCCATATATGCTCCACACCTCCTGGGGTCAGGCCCTTTGCAAACTGCTTCTAATAAGGCATCCCCAGAAAGCTGGAAGTACTCTAACCCCGGAGGAGACCATGCTCGGCCCGCAGCTGGTGCCGTGCAAGTTAAGCTAACAAAGAGGTGACTTGAATCATGGAGCCCTTTAGAAACCACTACACCAGTGATCCCTCCAAACATCCAGTATTTTATCCATCATTAAAGTTACTTAAGAGCCATGCTGACATCACAGCATCTTTCACAACCGGCTGTAATCTTAAACAAATGAATCACTCGAATTGTCTGGGACAGCACAAGAAACCCAGGTTATCTCAAAGGCAGTGGCTGAGATATTTTTTTCCACGTTATTATTTTCCACCTTTAGTTTAAACAACTCTTAGGAGCTATTTGAGCGCTGTAAAGCACAAACAAGGCAAGCTCCGGCAGCCTGGCTCTCTATCCGACCCGAGGCGGCTGAGGCAGCGTGTTCCCTGGGTGCTGAACGGGGCATATTTTCCCACCTGAAAGCCGGCGGAGGATCGGCACCCCAGGGGGGAGAGGGGCTGGCCAGGGGCGATGCCCGGCCCGGAGCAATGCCCTGGAGGCGCAGGGCATCCCTCCGCCCCCGCCGGGCGATGCCGCGGCGCCCTGGCCCCAGCACCGCTAAAAATAAAGCCCGTCTCCGCCGGCCTGCCCTCAGGAATCGGGGTTGGATCGACGATTTTCTTTTAAATCTGGTTTTTATCAATCCCCCCCCTCCCCCGACAACCCGGCTCCGAACCGCCCAGCTCGGACCGCAGCCCTGCGAATAACTTCAGGGATGGCCGGGACCGCCGCCGGGCGGGGGGACGGGACCGGGGGGCCCGCGGGCAGCGCTCGGCACTCACCTGGCCGGCGGTGTCGTACAGCCCCAGCAGGTACTGCTTGCCCCCGACGGTGACGCTGACTGCGAGAAGGGAGAAACACGTGAGGGGGGGCACCCCCGGCCGACCCTCTCCCATCCCCCGGCAGGGCCAGGCCGGGGGATGGAGTGAGCAGGGAGGGGGGAGAGGGGGCGGCAGCCGCGGCCCCCCGCCCGCTCACCTGCGTAGTGGTCGAACACGGTGGGCACGTACTCCTCGGGGAAGGCGTCGTTGGCGTAGCTCATCAGCAGGCACGTCTTGCCCACGGCGCCGTCCCCCACCACCACGCACTTCAGCATGACCGCCGCGCTGCCATGGGCCATGGCCGGAGCCCGCCCTCATGGCCCCGCGGGCGCGCCCCGCCGCGCCGGGCCCCTCGGCATCGCCGCCGCCGCCGCTCAGCGGGCGCCCCCGCCGGCCCCCGCCGGGCGCGGCCCCCCCGCCATCCGCCGCCGCGCTGGGCCCGGCGGGAGCCGCCTTCCCCCGGCCGCGCAGGGGCAGCGCCCGCCCGGGCGCGGGGCCGGGAGGGGGCGGGCGGCGGGGCTGCGGGGCTGGGGCCGCCGTGCGGGAGCGGCCGCTCGCCCCGGCCCCGCTGCCCGCACACGCATGCACAGAACACCCCGCGCTTCCCCGCCCCGAGAGGTACTCGGGAGCCGCGGGCACCCCCTGCCCCGCGCGGGCGGCGGGGGCGCGTTCGTTCTGCGCTGACACCCCCCCAAACCATCGCCCTGCCCGTACAAAGGAAACTCCGGCCGCATCCTGTGGCATTAACCCCTAACTGAGCCGATAAGGTATGGAAATAATCAACGGGATGTGAAAGGATTTTGTTCTGCGCCGAGTCTTCGGGTCTGAAATTCAGTACTGGGAATGGGTTTAAGAACACCAAAGTGCGTGGTTTAAATAGTCTTGAGTGCACATTTGCTAAAGGACCAGGGGACAAGATCTAGAAAGAAGAGGTACTGCAAGAAAAATGAGTGAAATCATGCTCCCACTAGTGTCAGTGGCAAAAGTCTCACTGTTCAGTGGCACTAGGTTGTCACCCTAGCAAGCTGTTTCAAACTTCACATTTTCAAATGATATGAAATACGTTTACAGTCAGGCAGAAAGTAATTGCCTTTTCTAGTCTATATTTTTTGCAGATTTATGCCATAAGCCCTATCCTGTTACAACAAAACCCACACAGAACAGTGCAACCCACGAGGAGACCTCTGTGTTGTAGAGTTTGTGTTTCTATTTGATCTGACATGCTTCATGGAGAAAATAAATGCAAATCCCACATTGCACAAAGCTTATCTGAATATTCAGTAAAACATATTTTCAAATCAGGACAAAATAGACAAGTTATTACTTTGCAAGTTTTTCGGCTTAGTGAATCAAGTTTTCGTGCCTTGAGACCACAGAGGGGGCAGGCAGGACATCCAAGACTCTGCTGCGATCTCTTCACAATTCATCCAGAGAGCATCAAACTCATGAGGAGACTGAGGCTGCCCCAGGAGGTATTTTTTCAGCCTTTGGAAAATGCCAGCTATAAAAGAAAGCTGGGTTTACCAAGACGTCAACCAGCAGCCAGCACAGGACTCAGTGCCCAGGTCTCCCAAACAACGTTTCCTAATAAGCAGGTATGTCCTGCATGAGCAGCTATTTCAGGATGGGTTTTGGCACCAGGCCCAGGAAAACTGCTTTACAGTGATCTACCTAGAGGTTCCCAGGTACCCACGAGAGACTTGAAATCATGCAGATACTCAGTGGCCCAGGTAACATCCACTTCCTTTTTGCTGTACTTGCCGATGTATACATTTGGGAGCACCCAACACTTGCATTCCTGGACAAAAGCACCCCAGGCTGCCGTCTGCGCAATCGATGGGAAGTACACTTCCTCCACTCTGCCGCTTGCTTAATTGCTAGTGTTGCTTCTCAAATCCTGTAATCATCATTTTGAACTTGCACAATCTCAGCCAAATGATTCTCATCCAGTCCTCCATCTCGCTCAGACAATGGACGCCCAATTAGTCTGCACTAAATATTTAGAGAAAATGCAGATACAGAACTGGCAAACTGAAATGCTCACCTCGGCTCTCTCCGTACCAGCCTGGCTGGTTGCACAGCCGGGGAGTCACATAGCAGCAGGAGTGGGACCTCGTAAAACCTAACAGGAGTCCCACAGCAATATGGCTCTGTGGAATCACCCATGGGGGCGTAGGACTGTTGGTTTCATCCACAGAACGTGTACTGTGTTTTTCACCCTTTGCAGATGTCATTTTCCAGCCAGCACCCACAGCAGCACGATAAGGAGGGTGCAACTATGAGGAGAATATACACACCAAAAGTTCCTGGAAATTGATTTATTCTCTTAAACTCTTCTGTCTTTCAGCAGCTCAGAGCCTCTCTTCGGTGTCAATTGACGTGGCTCAACTATATCAGCACAATGGATACCTTACCAGGAATCACATCCTTCTTTCAAATAGATTAACAATCTGTTCTGTGTAATATGCGTACATTTTTCAGCAATACAAATATAAAAAGTGTTAAAATAATTACCTACCTGTAACAAATATTTTAAGTACCTTTATTAAAGACATTGAATCTAGCCATTTTTTCCCTAACTTCTTTCATAAGCTAGTAAAAATAAACGAGTACAAGCTGTTAAAAGGAAACTCATCATCTGGCATATTTAAAATACATTTTTTTCCCTCATTCTTTGCTATAAAGTTGTTAGGAAATGAAAAACAGTACCATCTAATTTTTCGCAAAAGGGACAGTTTCTGAGTAGTTCTAGGTTATGCACTGAACAGTTACTTTAGCATCACATACGAGTACTAAACAATCAATTTTTTCATTTTAGGTATTAAAATTTTGCTTTTTAGGATTTCTGTAAGATTTCTATATGTATATGAGGCTGAAAACTAATTGGGAGGAAGAAATGTAACTAGATTACCCTTAGAAATGAGGCCTGTTCCAAATAATTCAAGTCAGTAATGGAGAAAAGTGTGTAGCAGAGAGGGTCTAATAAATGATGGGAAGCCTATGATGACACAAGTGGAACTCCATAGATGACTGTGCAGCTAAACATTTTTTTGGAAGCAATTCCTGGGGTATTCACAAGTAAAACATGGAGTGGGACCATGAAGTAGAATCACAAAGTCCTTGATCTGAGTTACCAACAGCAGAGAAAATAGAAGAGAAAGGGATGGAGCCAGGCCTCAGTATAAAGCAGCAAAAGACCTGTTTGGTCTATGGAACTAGGGAATAAATGGTATTAATTGTGTAATCAACACATTTTGAAAAGATAGATCTGATCGCGTCCATTATTAACGTCTCCGAATTTAACCCTGACATTTACATAATCTAGTTATTTTTATCAACTTGCTGCCCCTCTGTGTTGTGAGTACACTCCAGCAGTTCTCTGTCCACATCCTCCTGTTCACCCTGTCAGATAAGCCATGGTGCCTCACTTTGTCACTGGGTTGCTGTGCAATCACTAGAGTGTGGTCATGCATCTCACCACAAAAGTGGACATCTTCCCATGTTGGGTGAAATGACTTCATGGAAGTAGCCAATATTGAGGAAACACCCTTAAAAATGCCAAGTCACAGTCAAAGCTGAAAGTGATGTATGAAAAACACTCAAATTAGCCCCACAAAGTCCATCAGAGGATTAATTTTTTAGGCATCCCTGTCTGTGAAAGATTGGAGCCATGGTTTATGGTTCTCTAAAAGAACTTTTAGACTTACAAGGAATGTTAAGTCTTTAGGAAAGTCAATGAAAAGGGCGATGTCATCTGAATGCCCTGTTTGCACCATATCGTCTTTCAGACCAATCAATCTCTCATCCTCGAGCAGAGCTGTCCCTAAGCAGCAGAAGGTTACACCCGAGTGGACATAGTACAAGCCTGGTTTTTAGTCTGAATGATTTACTGTTGTCATAAATGATGAGAAAACCATTTTTACAGCTTATGAATCCAATCATTACAGTTTTGCTTCTCTACCCAAGATTATGGGTAACACAGAGAATGTGTCTCTATCCCAGCTAATACAGAGGAAACAAATCACATATTTCTAATGTGCCAGAAATGGATAGGCAATTTGATAGCTGTAGATCCAATTCCTTCTGAATGTCAGTTTCTACTCTATCCCCCAAAATTTTGTAATCGTTTACAAGAGCACTGGTACTAATTTCCTCTCAAGTCACGGCTGTGTGCTTGCTTACCTCATGTGTTTCAAGAACATAGTGATACCTTCGACCAAAGGCATGCAATATATGACATCAGAATAACACAGGATGACACATTTTAGGTCATCTGCTGCAGTCATTTGAATGTTAGAGCACACTGTCTCTTTACTATCCCTGTAGCAGTTCTCTTCTCAGAATGGGGATGAATGTTGCAAACAGAGGAAATATCACTTGTTCTCTTCAGGGACCAACCTGAAGAGTCCACTACATGGAAAGCTCCTACACAAGTCTCTTGAACTGTCTCGTTCTGTTATGCTGTTGCAGCTTGTGATCCTTTATTAACATTTCCTTCCTATTTGCATGGATGTAACTGAGATGGGAGTTTTCAGTTGACTAAAGCAAAATAGTGGCATCAGGACCAAAACAAGAGCCCATTGCTGAGAATAAGATACAATGTTTTAAAAATAAATTTGCACTAACTACTGGAAAGTGTCACAATCACTACTCCATGTGGTTTTTCTAAATAAGTGTAGTACAGGAGCTTTAAAATGGTCAAAGAAAATACATCAGTCGAAACCTTTTCTTTGAAAAGGCAGCTCCTTCGAGAAGAATACCTTTTGAAATCATGTCAATTCCATGAAAGTGTTTTAAGAATGGCATAAAAATGTTCTGGCAGCTTGAAAGTATACAATTTTTTTTTTTAGAGCAAAACATTTTAATTTCTAAATCACTATGGTTTCAATTTAAATTAGCATAGCATTAGAATACAGTGTAGCATAAATGAAAAGGTGCCATCATTAAATATTTCAATCAGCTTCATTTTTCTTCCAGAAGTTTGGGGGATTTTTAAGGAATTTTCAAGGGTTTCAAGATTTTCCAGATTGAATTCCTAATTAGAACAAAGACAAAGTTCAAAAATATTCATAAAAGTGAAATTTTATCCTCTGCATAGCATATGTCCTCCCTCATACTCATGGCATGCTAAATTATGGTAAGATAGCATAGCATAGAATCATAGAATAATTTAGGTTGGAAAAGAACTCTAGGATCAAGACCAATTGTTAATCTAGAACTGCCAAGTCCACCCTAAATCATGTCCCTGAGTGCCCCATCTACATGCCTTTTAAATACCTCCAGGGATGGTGACTTCACCACTTACCTGGGCATCCTGTTCCAGTGCTTGGCAACCCTTTAGTTGAAGCAATTTTTCCTAATATCCAATCTAAACCTCCCCTAGTGCGACCTGAGGCCATTTCCTCTTGTCCTATCACTTCTTACTTGGGTGAGGAGATTCACACTCACCTCTCTACAACTTCATTTTG